CACACCTGTTGTGTACAGTCATGTGTCTGTGTTTATAAAGTAGTCAACGATGACTCGGGTCACTGTTGGATTTATATGCTTTGATCCAAATTAAGCTACATGACGACTAAATCTGTCAGTGCATCCATTAATTACTATATGGTTTCAGTTTATCACAATACTAAAAAACAACTTGACAAGTTGGTCAGCATTCCTCATTTTAATGCGGTAACTGGTAACTGCATGTTTTATCGTGTAAAGGCTACAATAGTATGACTTTTTTCTCGTAATATTATGACTTAAAACTCTAAATATTATGACTTTGATCTCGTAATATTATGACTTTAATCTCGTAATATTCCAACTTTGTTCTTCTAATTCATCCATCCATTTTCTGTACACGCTTCTTCCTTTTCAGGGTCGCGTGGGTCACTGGTGCCCATATCCAGTAGTTACAGTGCGAGGGGCGGGGTACACCCTGGACAGGTCGCAAGTCCATCACAGGGCCACACATAGAGACAAACGAGACRAACAAGCATTCACTCTCTCACTCACACCTAGGGACAATTTAGAGTTATCAATTAACCTAACAGTCATGGTTTTGGTCTTGGGGAGGAAGCCGGAGTACCCAGAGAGAACCCAAAAATGCAGGGAGAGAACATGCAAACTCTACCCAGAAAGGTTCCCGGTCCGGGATTTGAACCGGCAACCTTCTTGATGAGAGGCATCAGCTCTGAGCCACCGTGCCGCCCATTCTCATAATATTATAACTTTATTTTATACAACTTCAATGTCGTAATATGATGACTTTAATCTCACAATTTAAAAAAAAATAGTTGTGTAGCCCTAATACTCCGTCGTATTAAAGCATTCACACATTTGTGATGAATTTTTTTTTCTGAATGCTTTTCAGCACGTATCTCATTCCACAGTTTTTGTGCTTTTTCAACAAAACATACGTATACTGGATAAAAACTTTCAGCTCCTTCAGGACATTCCTGCCATGATTTGGTATTTCAGCAATTTATACTTTTTGAGATATTTAGTTTTTTTAGCCACTTCTGTCTCATTAAAAAATAATGGAGCTGTCTTCAACATCTTTAAAACCATTTGAAATACAAAGTGAAAAAGAAAAAGATGAAAAAAAAGTAAAAANAAATGTTTACAGCAACTTTATAAACTAAACAATCAAAGTGCTGTAAAGTATGATGGAGTATTAGGGCCACACAATGAGATTTTTTATTATTATTACGAGATTAAAGTCATAATTTTATGAGAATAAAGTCACGAAATTACAAGAATAATGTCATAATTTTACGAGATTAAAGTCGTAATATTACGAGAAAAAAAAGTAATAATCATAACATGTCCTTTTCCTGTTCCTCATTCCCTCCTTATTTTCCCCACACCTGTTGTGTACAGTCATGTGTCTGTGTTTATAAAGTAGTCAACGATGACTCGGGTCACTGTTGGATTTATATGCTTTGATCCAAATTAAGCTACATGACGACTAAATCTGTCAGTGCATCCATTAATTACTATATGGTTTCAGTTTATCACAATACTAAAAAACAACTTGACAAGTTGGTCAGCATTCCTCATTTTAATGCGGTAACTGGTAACTGCATGTTTTATCGTGTAAAGGCTACAATAGTATGACTTTTTTCTCGTAATATTATGACTTAAAACTCTAAATATTATGACTTTGATCTCGTAATATTATGACTTTAATCTCGTAATATTCCAACTTTGTTCTTCTAATTCATCCATCCATTTTCTGTACACGCTTCTTCCTTTTCAGGGTCGCGTGGGTCACTGGTGCCCATATCCAGTAGTTACAGTGCGAGGGGCGGGGTACACCCTGGACAGGTCGCAAGTCCATCACAGGGCCACACATAGAGACAAACGAGACAAACAAGCATTCACTCTCTCACTCACACCTAGGGACAATTTAGAGTTATCAATTAACCTAACAGTCATGGTTTTGGTCTTGGGGAGGAAGCCGGAGTACCCAGAGAGAACCCAAAAATGCAGGGAGAGAACATGCAAACTCTACCCAGAAAGGTTCCCGGTCCGGGATTTGAACCGGCAACCTTCTTGATGAGAGGCATCAGCTCTGAGCCACCGTGCCGCCCATTCTCATAATATTATAACTTTATTTTATACAACTTCAATGTCGTAATATGATGACTTTAATCTCACAATTTAAAAAAAAATAGTTGTGTAGCCCTAATACTCCGTCGTATTAAAGCATTCACACATTTGTGATGAATTTTTTTTTCTGAATGCTTTTCAGCACGTATCTCATTCCACAGTTTTTGTGCTTTTTCAACAAAACATACGTATACTGGATAAAAACTTTCAGCTCCTTCAGGACATTCCTGCCATGATTTGGTATTTCAGCAATTTATACTTTTTGAGATATTTAGTTTTTTTAGCCACTTCTGTCTCATTAAAAAATAATGGAGCTGTCTTCAACATCTTTAAAACCATTTGAAATACAAAGTGAAAAAGAAAAAGATGAAAAAAAAGTAAAAAAAAAATGGGGTGGATTTTTTATAAAAAAATATTTATATTTTTTTTTTTTTTTTTTCAGTTGAAACTAAGTGGAAAATAGTGATCAGTGTTCGTCAATTAAATTTGTCAATTTTCTTTTATTAACTTTTCCTTACTGGTTTGTCGTGTTTCGTTTCTGTTCCTGATTAAATAAGACAGTAATTGTTAGTTTAATTTAAATACCGGTGAAGGCACACACAATAAATTAAACGATAATGAGAAACTCATTAGGTAGATAAATATAAACAAACTCGGAATATTTTATAGTAAATTTCAGGTAAGACATTTTCCTCTATAACTTTACTTTTGTTGATAAACTGGTGGCATCCATTGTTTTCCTTCACAGTTGTCATTTACTTCTTCAGCTGATGTCCACATTGGCAGCAGTTGTTGTTGAAAGATTATCTTCAAACACTTTACATATCTTTGAAGATGCTTCTTATTTGTGCAGAGAAAAAAAAAAATAAAAAAAAACAAGCCTCTCATCCCACTGCGCTGCCAGTAGGTGTCCATACACAGCGTGCAGACCATGGGATGGGGGACTCTGTCGCCAGTAGTGAAGTCTGTTCTCTGCACAGAACCAAATCTGTGTCTAGATGAAAGATGTGTTTTGATGAGGGCTGTATGAGAATTTAATGAGGCAAGATGGGATTGAGCCCCGGAGCTAGAGCCGCCTATTGATGTGAGAAGTTTTGAGGGGATTCCTCCTCCTTTGCCTTTGAGTTGGACACGTTTATGGGAGCCTCTGCAATAAAGCACATGTATTGCGAATGGTACTTTGTGTGATTTGTTTTTTTGGAAACGGATGCGTGCAAAGTTCCCTGTGACCCTGACGTGAACTGCTTCAAAGCCATCGTTTGACCTTCGCCACGGCTCACAATAACCTAGAACCATCTCAGTTAGATAAAACCGTTGTACTCTCACAAAATCCCCTGATCCATCTTTAGTTGAAAGGAAAGCCTGATTCAAAGACATGCCTTGGGCAACGTACATCTAAAGACAGGGAAAATTTAGCTTCTCCAGCTAGCCTTTGATACTGGGGCGCCCCCACTGTAAGTTTTGATTTCTTAATGTATTTACTAGTTGCTACATGAGGGTTTTTGATTGTCTCAGTTCAGAGATGGAAAGTGTAAGGATCCTCCTTTGGGATGAATATGTGTTTTGAATGGCGTAATGTGTTCTTCTAATGTGCTTTCCATTCACTTCCTCGCAGTCTTCTCAACATAACCTCTTAATGTTTCTGTCTGTATACAGGCATCCTCTCCAGTCTTCCAGTAACAGGTCTGCTAGAGGTCAATTAACGATAATGAGGCAATAATGTGGTTTACCCCAAACCTAATTAGATTTCGTTTAGCCACCGGGCTCTCACATGTCCCATGGAGGAGGCCAAACTCTATGCATATTGTTTTCTGGGTGTTTTGTTTCATTTCACTTCATCTGGACAGAAAGTGTTTCTCTGAGAGGAAGCTGCAACTCGCACCATCAAAGATCCAGTTGTTTTCCTGTTAAGACTCTGTCATCATTTTCTAATTAATGGATGTTGAGAAATGTCCTAATGGCAAAGCTTTCATGTCTGTAACAATCAGTTTTATATAATGTCCTTATTATCCAAAACTATAGTTCACAAACCAGGCAAAACCTTTTACAGTTTCCTTTTTTTATTTTAGAAACAGTTGTAATGAAGTAAACACTTAACTGATTTTTATTTCTCAAAATGTTGGTGTTTGGAAGCCTTTCCAGGAAAAACAACATGGATTTAACACTTGAATGACAATAAAAGTAAAATCAGTTTGTGTGTTTTTTTGTCTAGCAAACCCTTTTAAACAACCCACTGATCCTATTCTTTGAATATATAAAAAAAGGTTTTATTGTCTCTTTAAACAATATTGAATGATTAGCTTGAAAAAACTGGCAATGTTAAGGATTTCAGTCTGTTTTCAGTTTGAGAGCGTCGCTGTAAATCTTTTATAATTTCTTTTCTGCTTCTAATTCTCCCTATATAAAATACAGACTATAAAAATACTTCTAAATGGGTGTTTTTTTAATCATCAGTAGCAGCATGCTTTTTTAAGCACAAGAAAACATGCTATGTATTGAGCCAAGATTGTAAAAAAATTATAATGTTGGAAACATTTGTCAGCCGATGCCCCAAAATCCCCGTTTCATAAATCAATATTACTGTATTTCTCTCTATGCTGGGATGCTTTCACATCAATGATTCATTGAGAAAAATGCACAAAGCCAAAAACAAGCATTCTGCTGTCTAACCCCAAACAGTTTTATTTCCTTGACCCTACCACAACAGATACCAATAAAAAAGCGAAGTCACACATTGGAGTTGAATGGATGAAAATAGTCACGGTTTGCAGATGATAAGTTCTGCTTCTGTTGAGGTTGACACATGAGACAAATAAAGCTAAGTTCAAGTGAATGATGAGGAGCAATGTCATTAAGAGTAAAATGTAAAACTTTATGGTATTTTATTGTATTCTCCAGCATCTATATGAATCTGCCTTGTGGAAATAAAAAAAGAAAAATGATCAATAACAAAGAGTACTCAATGTTATTACTCAAGATTTGCTCCAGCTGGAGTAAAAGACAAAGTCATAAGTCCCGTTCTGGTGATTTAATTCAAATAAATGAAGAATTAGCCAGGAAAGGGCTGCTTTAATGTAAATTCAATCAGATGAAATATTACACACTCAAATCTTTAAGTGGCCTTTGAGGTCAATTGACTGGCTGCTGTGTCGAAACGCTGCTAGGGTGGTATCCATATTTCACCCACCTTTCCGCCACGCTGACTCTGTAAGTTATCGCACCCGAGGCAAACGTCTGAGCCGTGACCCGGACCCTCACACACACGAATCAGAGCCGGATTGAAGTCTATCCTTAGCAATTTGCACCACATTGTTGCAGTGAGCTATGTGGCGGGGGGGGGGGGGGGGCCTCCAGTTTCACTGTGAAAATAAACAACAAAGGAGCAGACGATCATAGATATTAACCAAATTCAGTGTCATCCATTTAAAGCTAATATCACAGACAGGAAATTACACGGTTCGGGTTCACAGAGAGCAGAGCGAAAATGTCTCCGAAAGTCCAACGTTGCAGCTTCGCTATCTTCTTTGTTGATTAGCTGCTTCTTTCTTTCCTCAGAGTGATTCCCCTCTGAAAGATGAAAGAACAATTTCCATGTTAAGTGGACCGCTTCTCTCAGTCGTGTTGACAGAGTGTACGCGTCGCGACGTGCTCATGTGTGAGCGAGGGGCTTTCCAACAGCGCAGATTTGATAAGGTTCTGCAGCCGCTTTCATCTATTGGATTTCTCCCACTCGTAATGTAAAACTGTAGTCTCTTTGTACACCCCCCTCCCCAAATTATCGTACCCTCACCACATCAACAAATAAATATAATACAGTGATCCATGTCTGTTGTTTAGAGAGCTACACATATATGTTTTGTTTTGTTCAGAATATTCTAAGAAAGTAAACAGATTGCTCAGTGCAGCTGAGTATAATAATTCTTGTCGTATCAAAACCTTTCAGGTGGTGGCTGCATGCTTGCGCTGTATGGTGACAAAAATATTTTAATTTCTGTTTTTTTTTTGCCTTATTTTTTAAGGTTGTCCATCTGCTTTAGCAAAAATCATGAAAGCTTTACCAGCCCTGGATGTGACAGGTAAAAAAAAAAGAGGTTATTGGCAGAAGTATAAATAAGATGAATGGAAAGGAACTTCCCAGGTGAAAAACTGTTATACTAAGTATACTAAATCTACGTATACTTTAGTATACTTGAAGCTGCCCTAATCATCAGTATACTTAAAGAGTGCTATTTTGGAACAACTAAATTAATACTAAATAAACTTTAGTTGTGTTTAAGTTATACAAAAGCACAATTTTAAGCGGATGAAGTATACTTTTAAATACTAAAATGGAACAACTTCAAATATACTTAGTACACTTTAAGTGTATAGACAAAGCTATAC